GGAGATTTCCCACTTGATGTTTGCTGATGATACATTAGTGCTCTGTGATATGGATACGGATCAGTTGAGATATCTGAGATGTGTTTTGGTTTGGTTCCAAGTTGTTTTTGGGTTAAAGGTGAATGTTGATAAGAGTGTTCTTGTGCCAGTTGGGAAGGTTTCCTGAGATTGAGAGGTTGGCACAGATTCTTGGTTGTCGCACTGGCTTTTTTCCTATTTCCTACTTAGGGTTGCCCCTGGGTGCCACTTCGAGATGTGTGGGGAGTTGGGATCCAGTTGTGGATAGATTTGAGAAAAGATTGGCGGGTTGGAAGAAGCAATATCTCTCTAAGGGGGGTCGGGTCACTCTGATTAAGAGTACCCTTTCTTGTCTCCCCACTTATTTTATCTCTCTCTTTCAGATTCCTTCCTTTGTGGCAGAGAGGATTGAAAGATTGCGGCGCAATTTCCTTTGGGGGGGAAGAGGGGGCGCAATTTTCTTTGGGGGGCGGGGGAGGGGGGGAAGAGGGGAGGAGTTCAAGCTTCACTTGATTCGTTGGGAGCAAGTTTGTTGTCCTATTCGAAGGGGTGGCTTAGGGATTAGGAGGTTGTTGCCTTTCAACAAGGCTCTCCTTGGGAAATGGCTTTGGAGGTTTGGGGTGGAGAGGCGTTGGCTCTGGAGGAGGGTTATTGCTCATAAATTTGGGAAGAGCAGTGGAGGGTGGTGTTCTCTCGTGGGTTGTGGTCCTAGGGGAGTGGGGGTTTGGACTGGCATTCGGAAGGGGTGGGATGATTTCTGTAAGCATGTTCATTTTCGAATTAGGGATGGTAGGAGGATCATATTTTGGGAGGATCTTTGGTGTGGGGATCTTCCTCTTGCGCTCGTTTTCCCACGGCTTTACAAGATTGCTTCTCATAAGCAGGCCTGGGTGGTTGACTGTTATCATCTTGATAACGGGAGACTGACTTGGGATGTTCAGTTTAGGAGGCACTTCCAGGATTAGTAGATTGAGGAGGTCACCCGGTTTTTGGCTTTTTTGTACCGTCAGACGATCACTGCTGGGGATCCTGATTGTTGGCTTTAGATACCCAACCCTCAGGTTGATTTAAGGTGAGGTCTTTTTTCAAGTGTCTTACGGTTGGCGCCGGAGGCTTTTTCCCTTGGAAGTCTATTTGGCGATCCAAAGCCCCCCTCAAGGTGGCTTTCTTCGCGTGGACTTCTGTCTTGGGTAGGATTTTAAATCAGGATAATTTGAGGAGGAGGAACCAGGTGGTGATTAATAGATGTTATTTGTGTTTGCATGATGAGGAGATTGTTGATCACCTTCTGCTGCATTGTTGCATGGCTAGGGGCTGTTGGGACTTGATGATTGGGTTGTTTGGGATCCTGTGATACCCCTCGAATCCGAGACATGGGTTGATCAGGCCCAAGCCCAAACCCGAGGGAATATCAAACAATTAATATATAAACGAACACAGAATACAAATCGAAATAACAAGAAATAAATAAATAAAGGCTGAAAAGAATTCTAATTATAAAATCCTCAAAAGTTAAAATTAATAAAATCCAAACTCTCCATTAATTAACAACTCCGGAATCCATCCTGTGGACCCCTAATAATATCCCAAACTGAAACTGAAACAACTGAAATAAAATCTAAAGCCAAACATGGAAAGTAATCCTATGTAGTCGGAGGAATGAGTGTATGTATCTGCTCTGCACGACCAAGCTCTAACCCTGAAACTGACGAGCACCTGAAAAATAAGAGAGTGGGTCAGGCCCACATGCAATTCCTATTCTACTACGATCCATACAGAAACCCGATATGCAGATACATCCTAGATAGCTCAACAATAAATAGAGTAGTCCATATATGTATAAGTACACATTATAGGACGCTCACTAGTCCAATAGGTCTGTCTCAACCTGAGTAGAGATACCATGCAAATCGCACATAATGTGGTCATGTGTACCTAGACCTACTAGGGCACAACAACTATTGTCCAGCTATCTATCCTAGGCAATATACGCACCCTAACCATGGTCCTGAGACTCAAGCTCATACCATGGCACCATAACATAAATATATAAAATCCGTGTACTCCTAATACAAAATATCATCCATCTGGTATAGTGGCATGATATATGTATAACAATCCATCCAGAAACCAAAGTAGATCATTCAATTATTTTATTGACATAACACCAATATGAGTAGGACTTAACCTTTATGGTTAATCTATACCTCAATCTAGAATAGATAGGACTTAGTATTTGAACTAATCCATCTCTAGTATGCCACCGTCCCATACCGGTGCATACAATCCTCCAAATAGCATAATTAATAAAACAACACTATATATTCTACAACAATTCTCCAAAATATGCATCAATATAAATTAACACATATATATCAATATCAGACATTCATTATAGAGCCTAAAAATCATATTCCAATAATGTAAACTGTTAAAATAAATCTAAGCATTTACATCCTCCAAATTGTCCATAAATTTATGCAGTTAAATAGCAAGGTGAATATCAATTTGTTCCAACACAAGCATGGTTAATTTCAAGTAATCCATGATACTTATAACCCTGTTTAAACATGATTAATCAATATTGAATCACATATAAACAATTCTCCAAGTTCCAATGTGTAAGCTGATTAACATTTAAAGTGCAACATGTAGGATTTTTCCCTAATTTTACACCGTCCGATCCCTAATCCATTTATGAATTATTGTTCCCCTATATTTCACAGGTTTATGGGAGTCATATACATCAGTTAAAATAGTTTAAACGAATTTGAAACACCCTGCACAGTCCAAACAACGCAAACCAACGGTATACAATTCTGGGCGAGAGCAGGCTCTCACAAGTTGAGAGCCTGCTCCTTTGGCATGGGAGCCGGCTCCCTAACTTAGGGAGCCTGCTCTATGCAGCTAGGAGCCGGCTTCACACCCCTTGGAGCCGGTTCCATTGATGAGGGAGCTGGCTCCCTCCTTTTGGGAGCCCTCTCTCTCATTCTCTGAAGCCTTTTTGCGATTTCTGCTTCGTCTTCCTCGCCTCCGGCGATACCCAGGCCCCTGTAATTCTTTTAAACACTTGTTCTAATGTTTAATCAATGTCCCAGAACAGTTATAAAGCATCGACATGCATCAACGTCATCAATTAAACTAAACTTAAACTCAAACAAAGCATGCATCAATTAACAGAACTGCAAGAACTTGCAACCCAGTTTAATTCAACAAAATTAAATATAGTTTAAACATGCATAAACAACTTGTTTTAACATTAATTAAACCCCTGGAGTCTACCTAGGCATGCACAGAACACAGGTTTAGGGGAAAGAGTTAGAACAAGACTTGCCTCTGATTTCAGTTTAGAAATCTTAAACCTCCGTCTTTAAGTTTTCCAACCACTTCCTAGACTGCCGTTCCACTCCTCTGATGCTCTTGGTTCAACCCGGAAGCACTCCGTCCCGTCCTCCTTGAACCTCTCTGTCTATCTCTCAAATTTCCCTCTCTGCCTCTCAATATTCTTTATTCGTGGTTTATGTCGTAAACCCTAGACAGACATCATATATATATATATATAGGTGTTTCTGAAAACCCTAGTCCACTTAGAATTAGAGATTGAAAACCCTAAGTTAAATTATAGTCGGCCACAATGTGAAACATAACAGAATAATACAATCCTAATTAAATCCAATTAGCTTATTTAAATAATTAAACAATTATAATAATTCAATTAAAAACAAATAATAATAAAAGAAAACAATTTAATCAATTAATTCAAGTAATTCAAATAATAACAATTAATTCAAACAAACAAGCAATTAAACAATTAAACCAATAAAAATTAAATTAAATAATTAATTAAAATACCAGGACTATCCTTTTAAACTTAGGGGTATTACAGATCCCGTGGGTGATGCCTAACTCCACTAGAGGGTTGATTGAGGCTTGGAGAGGATTTTCAGTGGGGCTCTCATTCGGGACGCTTGGAGGGCTACGCCTCTTTGTGTTTGGTGGTGTATTTGGCTTGAGAGAAATATGAGATATTTCGATGGAAAGGAAAAGCCTATTGCTATGCTTAAGTTCTCTATTCTTTCCACTCTTTTCTGTTGGGTATCAGGAAGGGATTTTCGATCTGTATAGGACTTGGTTGTTTTTCTGGCCTCTTTGAAGGTTTGAGGTGTTTTGGCCTTGTTTTTTGTACTTGGGTCCCGCTCCCCTTTTGAGCGGTTCTTCAATAAATTTTACTTATCAAAAAAAAAGAAAAGAAATATAAGCATACCTTTTAAAACCACCATACCATAAGAGAGGTAAATAAATAGTCACATAAGCATTTCTATGAATTTACAATAATTCAAGTGAGGTAAAACTTACATACATAAGGGTAAACACTTTGGATATCAATGATAATCACAATAATGAATCCATAAAGCATGCTATACATGAATTTCAATTTAAAGAATCATTAGAACAATAATATCATATAAATACATAACTAAATACACACTTTAATCCAACTCACACACACATATGCATGCACAATACACTCTAAACCCACAAAATTAAAAGGAATCATAGATTTAAAATACTCAATACACCCCCTACCTCACTTTGGGGTGAAAACCTCAAATCCCACCGAAATGAAAGTGCTCCAAATGCAAAAGTCAAGGCCGTGGAACAAACAGAGAAAAATGCAGTAGTTGAGTTCCCTAAGGTATCATTACTCGTGCGCGCACACACATTTAGACATGGAACCTAGGTGTTCCAAGTTTTGGGAACAATTACAAATTAACATTTCAAATGTGGGGAAATGCGATTAACTGTTTCGATTTTGCTATGAAATGTTTAGCATATTTGGTGCATGAGAAACACCGGAAACTTCCAGGGTTTGAGTTGTTAGTCCAGAAGGGAGACAATAAAGAAATTCAGATGACCATAATGAGAAAATGACGCATCATATTTTTAATCTCTCTCTCTCTCTCTTGACACTTGTTCTGCAGTCTAAGGGCAAAGATCCTATTGTTGTTCAGAAAGATATCAAGGCAGTGGAACAAACGGAGAAAAATGCAGCAGCTGCCGCCCCTAAGGTGTCTTTACACACACACGCATATGCATTTATCAGAAACCTAGGTGTTCCAATTTTTGGGAACAATTACAAATCAACATTTAAAATGTGGGGAAATTCAATTTAGCAGTTTCAGTTTTGCTCTAAAATGTCTTGCATATTTGGTGCAAGAAAAAGAACAATAAAGATTCAGATGACCGCAATGAGAAAATGACACAACATTTTTAATCTCTCTTTCTCTGCAGTCTAAGGGCATAATATTTGGCGACGTTCCACAGGCAGTGGAACAAACAGAGAAAAATGCAGCAGCTGCGGCCCCTAAGGTATCTTTACACACACAAAAACACACGCATTTTGGAGGAAGCGCATTCATCCTAGCTAGTCACACACTTGAAACAGCTTGTAATGATAAGTATTTTATAAAGTTTAAGCATCTTCATGGATGTAAACAGTGTGCATGTTGTGTAGCAAGGTAGATCATTAATTTGAAAGGTAATAATGGTATTGTTACCTGTTACTCCTTGATTTCGCATAAACACCTGAATGTGATGTATCATTATGAGAAAAATAGATGACTATTATGAGAAAGTTACATATCACATTTTTTTAATATCATACATTTGCTGAGTCGATGGTTAGAAGATGAAGCAAAGTAGAAAAAAAGTTTCTTCCATGGCAGTCTTGAGAATAACGATAGAATTATGAATTTATGCTCAATGTGAGTTGAAACTTTAAGAAATAAAAGCCTTCCTGCCTTGGCCGACGGTAATGAGTCGGAAGACTCAGATTAGCATTACTCTTTTGTTCAACTTCAATTGTTGGAACAACCCGTAGGTCACTACACTTTTTGCAATGAGCTGTACATGTGATATCAAATAGAATTATTTGTGGAAATTTTTTTTTCACTTTCTTATTTCCTCCTGTTGCAAGTTTCATTCATTTTTCACTGGCATGAGCTACTACTTGATTCTCTTTCCCCACAGGTGGATTAGTATCACTTATTTTGACGCATCATGTCGTTTCACTTTGTGCACTTTATCTCCTAATTAGTATGTTAGTTACTTTCCCAAAAAAACTGAAAGCAACAATGGTGAGTCAATGTGGTAAACCTCTCTTTTTCACCTGTGCATGTAGGTGAAGAATGGAGAGAAAAATCTTGCTCATGCTGAGAAGAAAACAGATGCAACTGTGGAGATTAACGAAACAACAGCAACATCAGTAGCTGGTGGTGGTGGAGAGAACAAACTTCCGGAGGGAACCACTTCAAAGAACATTCAGAAAGAATGGGCTTGTGCTCTATGTCAACTGAAATGCAGCTGTGAGAAAAACTTGAATTCCCATCTTCATGGGAAGAAACACAGAGAGAAATGGGAGGAGCTGAAAGCAAGTATGCGAACTAATAAAAACAAGGGTTCCTCGTCTACGACAGCAAATAAATCTGATCAAACCAATCAAGAACCTGAAAAGCGCAACAAGCAGAGAAATCCAAAGAATGCTGGTACTCAGATGCAGCAGTCTATATTATGGTGCAACATCTGTAATGTAAGGTGCCCTGGAGAGATAGATATGGCCTGTCACCTTAAAGGGAGGAAACACTTGACTCGGGTTCAAGAAGTGTATGGCTGTGCAGGTGGTGGACAGGGTTAGGTTTTCGGTTAATGATGTTAAAATGGATTTGAATGTTTCAGGCATACAAGGATGGTAGCTGATTCTCACCTTTTTGTTGTCAGGGAAAAAAGGTTTAAAATTGGAGATAATGTAATCTCTTGATTTTAGGTTTTAGTGAAGATGTTTGGAAATTGAATTTTTATTTCTTCACCGAGGACTTTGTGGTTTCAAAGAAAAAAAGTGCATGTCTTTATGGACATTGTGTTGTCAATTAAAAAAAAAAAAAAAAAAATATTATTTCTTCTTTCAACTAGAATTTTCTTTATTAAAAAAGTAAGTAGGGGTTTTAAAAAGTGAAAATAACCCCCACTAAATGTTGTATCTTCTACAATTTAAAGTGAATGGCGAGACCATAGGACAAATGGATGCAAAACAACCTATTATTAGTGTTGGCACTCCCGAGATACTAAATATTTTTTTTGTCGTAATGGAGTGAAATAATGAAAAGTCAAGTCTGACCAGATTGTTTGATCATTTTACCTCGATACTTCTTTTCAGAATTAAAAAAAGCCATCAAGATGACACATTTTTTGCTATGGATTACGGGTGAGAGTGTCTCATGTTAGTAATAATTTTTTTTTTTTTTTTTTTTTGTTTTCTTTGTGGGCTGGCCCACACCTGAATTCGCCCTTGGTAATCAAACAAGAGAGAAGCATTAATATACTATATTCAACAGTTTCCATCTCAGAAAAATTAAAGGCTTTTTTTTCTCGAAAAAGATTTTTCTTTTTCGTTTAACATATATTTTTTTATTTTTACATTTTCAGTAATTAACATAGGTCTAGCCGTCTCGGTTGAGGTTGAAATTGAGTCCATCGGGACATGTAAAATTAGTTACTGAAAAATAATTATTAAGTTATTTTTGTTAGATTTTAATTTTTTTTTTCTTTATAAATATTTTACAGCCAAGCATCATCAAAAAAAAAAAAAAAAAACTGAACACAAATGGTTTAGATGAAAATGGTAGAAGACATTGATACTATTTTATTGAAGAGTTTACACAATTACACATCTCGCTGGTTTTCTTAAATAAAGATACAAAACACATTCTTTATTTATGTATCTACAACTTTTGAGAAGTTGGCATTGCCAAGGGTACCCTAGAACCACTAGGTAAATCCTTCCATTGCGCAAATACAAGTAAAGAAGAAGTTTTTGGAGTTGTATTTTACCATAGAAATTGAGATTGCGTGCGAAAGATGGCATGGTAAATAATTAAATATATATGTTGAGAATTTTTTAACATAGGTCTAGCCGTCTAGGTTGAGGTCGAGTTTATCGGGTGGGACGTGTAAAATAATTTGTCAAAAATTGATGAATAAGTTATTTTTGTTAGATTTTAATATTTTTTTTCTTCATAAACATTTTACGACATTCAAACACCAAAAAACACAAAAAAAATAATTTTTGAAAAATATTTAAGCTCAAACTAACAGAGCCTAAGAGTTGTTTAGAGATATATAATAGAATGTGTTTTTTTAATCCTTCACAACCAGAGTTTTGCTTTATTAAAAATGTAAATAGATTTTCTGGAAACAAGACATTAGGGAAATGCTTTTCTTATAAATTAATTTTTCCAGTGAAAATCTAAGACCTTGAATAGTCAACGCAATCAATGTAACACACACAATAATTAGAAAAATGATAACAGAACAAAAAAAAGAAAAAAGAAAAAAAAAAGAGAGGCAAAGTTAGAGAATTTGCTCATGAATATATTGAGAGCAGGTGATTATGACAATGTAGATGGTGTGCAAACTATATGTTCCTTAACTTTTTTCTTTAAATTCAATATTAATTTTTTAATAAAAGGAAAATTAACAACTCTGAATATTTTTTTTCTTCTGTTTGAAGATTATCATGTCATTCGTATTTGGAAAAGAATACTGATGTACAAAAAGAACGTATGATTTAGTCATATGATTTTTATTTTTTTTATTCGCAATAATTATTAAGCACGTGTGACACCCAAATTATAAAAGTTCTCAAAGAAGCTAAGAATTGTTTATTGATAAAGTATGCGTGTCCAACCGTCCATCCTTTATACCACATGAGCGGCATTCTTATAACTAAAATTACTAGAATATTACTCTTTTATTCTTTCTTATTAAGCTATTTTTATTAAATTATTTTTTCTCTTATATAAATATTATTTATATTATTTATTTTAATTTTATTATTATTATCAATTTATCATTAAAAAAAATATAAATTTATAACTATCATTTTCTAAAATGATTAATTTATTATTAAAATTTTATTATTTATAATAAAATTTATTATATTCGTTTTAAACTTTTTAATCGAAAAAAATACATGATTTTTCATTTAGTATATTGATGACAAATTAATAAATTACTTAAATTAAAAATACATTTTTTTTTCAATTTCTTGTAATATATTCATGAACAATTAAGAAATTAATTAATTTTTTAAAAAAATTTACTTAATATTTTTATTTAAACAATTAATTTTAAAAATTAAAGATAAATCTATGTAAATTTTAAAGAGAATATGTCATCAAATTAGTATGAATTTTTTTTCATAATTTATTTTAATTAAAAAAAATTAATTAAGTATAATTAAATAAGAAAGACACTATAGCTATAAAAAATTAAATAGAAACAGAAAAAACTTCACAAAGGGACAGAACAACATGGTCATTATGTAAATTAAGGAATTCCGAGGGTCATTCGTATTCCCCATTATGTAAACTCTCTTATCTAAAAACCGATTGGAGGGTCTTCTCTCCGTCCGTACTCTGTCGTCCTATTTCAAGTCTTCTCTTAACTCTTAAGTTTCTCTCTTCATACTGCTACTAAAAATAAAAAACCTGAGAAGGCCCAGAAAAAAAGATCAGATTGGAATCAGAGATGGGTTTGCTAGGGTTTGCAGTGACGTGCTTTGATGTCCTTGCTTGGTATTGTATTCACTTTCTCACCACAAAATTAGAAAATTTGGAAGAAAATTGTGATTTTTTTTATATTTTTTTTATCATACCACATAAATTAATTTGCTTTTTTATTTTTTAAAATTTTAATGTTAGATGCTCCGGGATCCTCTTGGATTTGATTTGCTGCTCTTCAATTCATTTCAAGTTCATGATCAGTATTATATATATGTATATATATAATATTGCATAGTGTGTGTGTACAGTGTATGCATGTGTGGCAAGATCATTTAATTTTAACGCATTACTATGTTTTTTACTTGTAGGCCTCTAATTTCTCTGGGCTATCCTCTGTAAGTCTCTTCCCCCCCTCTCTCTCTCTCTATATATATATGTGTGCGTAGCATTTCATGGCATAAGAGTAAAGTTGCATGATTTTTTTTTTGTTTTTTGTTGTCGAAGAATTATGAAATTCTACCGTATTGCTATCATTGGTTTGCTATGATTATTGGTATATACGTACTTGTTCTTTTAACAGATGTGCTTCAATTCGAGCTATTGAGGTCAAGTCAAACTTGGACATGCAGAAGTTGATCACATACTGGATCCTTTTTTCCCTGATTTCTCTCTTCGAGCTTGGTTTTTCAAAACCCATTGAATGGTAATTAATTATATTGCTAAGAATTGTTTTCTTTGATTTGTGAAGAACCTTTTTTATGTTTCCCAACATTTTTGCTCTTTGTGATTTTCCAGTAGTTTACAATTTTGAACATCCAAAAATTTAAATATGTTTGACCACCTCTAGGAAAGATCAACAATATTTGCATGATTAAGGCTGCAATCGAATCGAGCTGAGTTCATTCATTAGTAAACGAGTCAAGGTTTAAATATAAAGGCTCAGCTTGAGTTCAATCGTTAGTAAATGAGTCAAGGTTTAAATATAGGATGGTTTGTGAAACAAGCCAAGCTTGACTAATGGTACGATTGGGCCTTATAGGCTTATCCCATCCACGATGTAGCATTTTTGACAATCACCTAAAAACAACATGTTTGGTCCGTTTGGAAACATACTCAAATGTATGAACCAAGGCCAAGCTCCAAGTTAGAGGTTCGCTTGAGACCTCTTACGAGATAAGCGAGTCAAACTTGATCATATTATAAAGCTTGCTGACCTATTGAGTTTGCCTGAAACTTGGCTGATAAACATAATACCACTACAAAAAGAAAGAGTACATGAGTTCAGATCAAGATCAAGATCAAGATTGCTCCTGGTTGATGCTTGTTTGAGATTAATTGCATGATAAACAAGTTAAGCTCAAACTTCTTTTGGAGTTGTTGATTGTTGAGGCAGAACTTGAGCAATCTACTTCGGCTTAACTTGGCAAGATACAAAGTATCTCAAGTCACTAAGCCGCTAAAACATTGTCAAGAGCAACACCTCTCACTCTTAAATGCAGCATTTTTGCCCATCTTCACCTAAATGTGTCATTTTTAGCATACATCCCAATTTGTAATATTTTTTCTTTCCATTGTAAAGATGTAGCATTTTCACTTCTCTTCCTATATAATTTTTCTCTGCTTCCGTTACAACCATAACTTTTTTCCTTTTTTGAAAAAAATTTATTTCGTGAATGTCCTTTGGTATGAGTTTTCACTGTTGTATCACAAAATTAACTATAGCTCTCATATAAGGCCACATATGCGTAAATCTCAGTGGCTGTTACATGGGAGGATTTCTCCCAATTTTTCCGTTTGAAAAGATTGGACCAAATATCCCCTAAACTACAACATATTATCATTCATATAAATAAGGCAACATGTTTGCTTGGCCGCACTACCCAAAACACCCGCCCATCTGCAACACACACAATGAAAAGAAGAAGAAGAAGAAGAAGAAGAAGAAGAAGAAGAAGAAGAAGAAGAAGAAGAAGAAGAGAGAAAAGGAAAGAGATAGGACATTTATCCATCTTCATGTCACAACATTTTTCTGCCATTCCCAAAAGTGACATCCCCCCTTCTCCTTCCAACATAAAAAATGCAGCATTTTGTATACCCTCTTAATGTGCAGTCTTTTTTACTAGTACTTGGCACTATGTTCTCTGGAGTTCCCCATTCTTTTCTTAAGAAAGGTCATTACTCAGTGTTGCTCTCATCAAATTGAGGTGTTTGAAGGAGTAAATGGATACAGACTACCCTCCAACTTATGAGCACAAGCCACAAAGTGGCTGCTCTCATTTGAATCCTCATTTTCACCTTCTTTCATGAACATCCTACCTTGAGTAAAAGCAAAGCTATATGCAACTGTAGGTTCTAAATATTAAATGAAAGTTTAATAAATCACCCGTGTGTATGAATTTCAAGCACAAAGTGGACTTTCTTTTACCCTAATTTTAAATTCTCAAATCTCGAACCAACTACAACTCTAACAAAGTTTGTCTTTTTGGAATAGTTGGATTGTTTTTTTATATTATTTAACTATCAAGAAGCAAGATTACTCATGTTCTTCCACATTCAATAAATTTCTCTTTGTTCATGTCAGGCTTCCGTTCTGGCCTTACATAAAACTCATGGTCATCTCCTATTTGGTGCTACCTCGCTTTGATGGTGCATATCATGTTTACGCGTACCTTGTTCGTCCTTACTGTTATGTGAACCCACAAGTTGTTATCAACAAATTCAATAAGCTGAAGGAGTTATCTCATAAGGGGGAAAATTTTCTGGCTATGGCAGAGAAATATGTTGAAGAGAATGGGTCTGAAGCCTTGGAGAAACTTATTGCAAGCAAGGTATGCCTTTATATGTAAAGAGGGCCATATATTGGGATGACAAGAAATTGCCTGATGAGGAATATTTCAAACTACTGGAGACTTCACATAGGAAGGCTAAATATGTGGTGTACTAAAAGTCTACGATTTTTTCAAATGTTCCTTAAAGGTTAAATTTTTGTCATGGGAGTATGATTTAGTATCTCTAATTGGTCATACAAATACACACTTGACAGGATGATTTTCCTTGATTTCTGATACACAAGCATATGATATCTTGTCACCTTCTTCAATAGCATGGATGTATATGCATATTGAGATTGTATTGGCTTGTTCTCAAATTTGAGAGTCCTCTCATGACAAAAGCCATACCTTTATTAACCACTTGATTGAGACAATTTTCAAATCTGTGAAAGTCAAAAATGAATCTTTTAATAAATCTCTCAATCCAACAGTCAACAAGGAGAGCACATGGTTCTTGTCATGAGAGGGATCTCTTGATGGCTTTTCTCTTTAACAATTTAGAGATATTTTCAAACTGGATTAAGTTGAGATATGGGTAATAAAGGGATCTCCATGAGAGTGTGTCACAGACATTCGTATTTGTTTTTATTGTTAAGTCTCTCACATTTATACTTCAGTCAAAAGGTACGAAACTTAGTTCTGATGTGGAAGAGATCAAGGCTGTTGCAAATACAGAGAAAAAAGAAGTAGCAATCGAGGTAAGGTTCTTGACTATGTTCTAAAAACCACGAACTGTAAATTTGTCAATATATTATGGTGGCTATGAGTCTGTTCATCTTGGTAGATGCATTGTAGATGGACACACACCTGAGTTGGGAAGGTAAAAGAATCCAGCGTGACTCTTTGCACAGTGTAGTCCACATTCTTTAAAAATTGGATGTCATGTATGAGTGGATTTAAACAGAGGCAGTATGGTGTTTGGAGCACTTGGACAATACGAAGCTAACACAATTTCTTTCCATATTGCAAATAACATGGAAACTTATCGTCCGAATTAATCATGGAGTCTGCATAAAGCTCTTTTAATTGAAGTGCAAAGATGTACATTTTTGTAAAACAGAGCTCCATGATGAGCCATTTCCCCCCTTATTTGTCTCTCTCTGTCTCTCTGCAGCCTAAGTGCAACGATCGTATTATTGTTCGGAATGACATCAAGGCAGTGGAACAAACAGAGAAAAATGCAGCAGCTGCAGCCAAGGTATCATTGTGCGTGCGCACACACATTTAGATAAAGAACCCAGGTGTTCCAAGTTTTGGGAAAATGTTTAGCATATTTGGCACATGAAAAACACTGGAAACTTCCAGGATCTGAGTTGGAAGTCCAGAAGGGAGACAATAAAGAAATTCAGATGAGCATGATGAGAAAATGACACATGACATTTTTAATCTCTCTCTCTCTCTCTCTCTCTCTCTCTCTCTCTCTCGTTCTGCAGTCTAATGGCAAAGATCCTATTGTTGTTCAGAAAGAGTTCAAGGCAGTGGAAAAAACAGAGAAAAATGCAGTAGCTGCAGCCCCTAAGGTATCTTTACACACACATATGCATTTTATAGGCATTGCAGGCATCCTAGTCACACAATTGAAACAGATTGTAATCTGAAAAGTGTTTTATAAAGTTTATGCATCTTCTTGGTTGTAAAGAGTGTGCATGTTTTGTAGCAAGGTAGATCAGTAATTTTTGAAAAGGTACTAATGGTATGATTACCTGTTGCTCCTTGATTTCGCATAAACACCTGAATGTGATGTGTCATTATGAGAAGATCAGATGACCATTATGAGAAAATGACACATCACATTTTTAAAGTGTCTTATCACATCAATTTTGTATATATCATACTTGAAGATGAAGTAGGAAAAAGAGTTTCTTCCATGGCAGTCTTGAAAATAATGATAGAATTATGATCAATGTGAGTTTGAAGCATAAGAATTATTGACTTTCCTGCCTTGGCAGACAGTAATGAGTCGGGAAGAGTCAGATTAGCATTTCACTTTCGTGCAACTTCAATTGTTAGAACAGCCTGAAGGTAGCTTCACTTTTTGCAATGAACTGTACCTGTGATAACAAAACTATTATTTGTGGATAAAAATTATGTCACTTTCTTATTTCCTCCTGTTGCAAGTTTTCATTCATATTCACTGGCATGAGCTACTTGTTTCTCTTTCCCCATAGGTGGATCAGTGTCACTTATTTTGACACGTCATGTCATTTTATGTGCCTGCTTTCTTTTTAGCAACTTTGTTACTTAATTCATAGGTTCTAAAATCAAGAAACACTGGTGAATGGACGTGGTAAACCTCGCCTTTTCACTTTGCATGCAGGTGAAGAATGGAGAGCAAAATCTTGCTGATGCTGAGAAGAAAACAGATGCAACTGTGGAGATTAAAGAAACAACAGCAACATCAGTAGCTGGCGGAGAGAGCAAACTTCCAGATGTATCCACTTCAAAGAATGTTCAGAAAGAATGGAGTTGTGCTGTATGTCAGATGACGGTTAACTGTGAGAAAAACTTTAACTTACATCTTCAAGGGAGGAAACACAGGGCCAAGTGTGAGGAGCTGAAAGCAAGTAAGCAAACAGATAAAAACAAGGGCTTGTTGTCTTCGACAGCAAATAAATCTGATCAAGCCGATCAAGATCCTGGAACACTCAAATGGAGTCAAGTGAACAGTTGCAAGCCTGGAAATCCAGACAATGCTGGTACTCAGATGCAACAGTCTAATTTTTGGTGCAGCATTTGTAATAATATGTGCACTGGAGAGATGGATATGGCCTGTCACCAAGTAAGCAAACAGATAAAAACAAGGGTTTGTTGTCTTCGACAGCAAATATGTACTTTTTTTTTGTAAAACAGAACTCCATGATGAGCCATCTTCACCCCCCTTATTTCTCTCTCTGTGTCTCTGCAGCCTAAGTGCAACGATCCTATTGTTGTTCAAAAAGACATCAAGGCAGTGGAACAAACAGAGAAAAATGCAGCAGCTGCAGCCAAGGTATCATTACACACGCGCGCACACATTTAGATAAGGAACCTAGGTGTTCCAAATTTTGGGAACAATTACAAATCAACATTTCAAATAGGGGAAAATGCGATCTCACTGTTCTGGTTTTGCTCTAAAATGTTTAGCGCATCAGAAACACTGGTAACTTCTAGGATTTGAGTTGGAAGTCCAGAAGGGAGACAATAAAGAAATTCAGATGACCATAATGAGAAAATGACACATCACATTTTTAATCTTTCTCTCTCGTTCTGCAGTCTAATGTCAATGATCCTATTGATGTTCAGAAAGTTATCAAGGCAGTGGAACAAACAGAGAAAAATGCAGCAGCTGCAGCCCCTAAGGTATCTTTACACACACACACACGCACATGTATTTATCAGAAATCTAGGTGTTCCAAGTTTTGGGAATGATTACAAATCAACATTTCAAATGTGGGGAAAAGCACAACCCCGGAAACTTCTAGGATTTGAGTTGTGTTGTATATCATAAAACAGAAGTGAAGAGAGAAATGAAACACGAAGAACACAAGGATATTACGTGGTTCAGCCACTAGGTCCTACATCACTTTATAATATATTCTCTCTTAATCTTTGTGTACAATGATCACCTCTATTTATAGGTGAAAGAATAGGGTGATAAATATGGAAAATAATTAATAGAAGATTCCTAAAATCAATACCATAAATCACTCCAATCAATATTCTATCATAGGCTAGAATCTCTCCTATGATATTCTCATATCAAATATTCTGTCAAGGTTCCTATAATAATATTTTCCAAATATAACATCTCCTAACACTCCTCCTCAAGCTAAAGGATGTATGAAAATAACGCTCAGCTTACATATCAAATCCTGCAACGGATCCTTTTCCAACGATTTGGAAAAAGACGATAAAACTGCTAGAGACGCGGTGAATGCGAAGAACAATGCTACTGAACACACCGGTAGCCCAAACAAGTCCACATAGCACTGAACACATGGTGAAGGTTACGAACAATGCTACCGAACACACCGGCAGCCCAAACAAGTCAATAAAAATTGCCGGAGACACGGCAAGGGCAAAGACATTGCTACTAACACACCGGTGACCCAAATAAGTCACAAATAGAACCGAGAAACCCTTAGCAACATTTTAGATACTAAGGGAATGTCCCAAAATAGGGGTCCGAACATAGGAAGAGAAATTAGGCTCTGATACCATGTTGAATTTGAATGTGCAAATATAAAATGTAAATCAAGAATAAGCGGAAGATGGAAAACACAAATATTTACATGGTTCGGCACTAAGGCCTACATCCACGGACAAAGAGCCACTACGGGCTACATCACTTTATAATATATTCTCTCTTAATCTTTGTATACAATGATCACCTCTATTTATAGGTGAAAGAATAGAGGTGATAAATATGAAAAATACATTAATGGAAGATTCCTAAAATCAATATCATAAATCACTCCAATCAATATTCTATCATAGGCTTAAATCTCTCCTATGATGTTCTCACTTTTCAGAGCTTGGCCGAGATGACTGCAGAAGCTTTGAACCCAAAAGCGTATCCACTGGCAGATTCTCAGTTGGCCATAACCATCCTGGATCTTATTCAACAGGCTGCAAACTACAAGCAGCTCAAAAAGGGTGCTAATGAAGCTACTAAAACTCTGAATAGAGGAATTTCGGAATTTGTTGTAATGGCGGCAGATGCGGAGCCTCTTGAAATCCTCCTTCATCTTCCACTTCTTGCCGAAGATAAGAATGTGCCCTATGTTTTTGTTCCTTCAAAACAAGCTCTTGGTCGAGCATGTGGTGTTACAATACCAATTATTGCTTGTTCAGTGACAAGTAACGAGGGAAGCCAGTTGAGAACTCAAATTCAGCAACTTAAGGATGCCATTAAGAAGCTACTGATCTAAGAATATGTGTAAAATCTTTCCATCATGATGGGCCGATGCATTTTGGAACTGGATTCATCTGAGGCTTTGACTGAAGAAGTTTTAGGGAATTGACTAACTGTTTCTGGCAATTTCCACATCTTTTTCAAGATGTTTTTATGTGTGCTTGGTAGAAGGAAAGCATAATCTATGGAACTCCTAATTAGTTTGTTTTGAGTGATTAGACAGCTCTTGAGAAGAGAGTGAAGAAACTATTTCATAGCTATGTTGAGTTGTTCTATTGAACAGAGTGAAGAAACTATTTCATAGCTATAAAAAATTAAAAAATAAATTATGGTATTGATTTTAGGAATCTTCCATTAATGTATTTTCCATATTTATCACCTCTATTCTTTCACCTATAAATAGAGGTGATCATTGTACACAAAGATTAAGAGAGAATATATTATAAAGTGATGTAGCCCTTTGGGCTCTTTGTGCCGTGGATGTAGGCCCTAGTGGCTGAACCACATAATATTTGTGTGTTCTACTTGTTTTATTTATCTCTTTGTTTCCGTTTTATGCTTTACAACAAGTTGGAAACCCTGGAGGAGGGAGGCAATAAAGAAATTCAGATGATCATAATGAGAAAATGACACATCACATTTTTAATCTCTCTCTCTCTCTCTCTCTCTCTCTCTCTTGCTTTGCAGTCCAAGGGCAAAGATCCTATTGTTGTTCCAAAAGATATCAAGGCAGTGGAACAAACAGAGAAAAATGCAGCAACTGTAGCCCCTAAGGTATCTTTAGTTCTTTACATGCACGTGCATCGCATTTTGGAGGTAGTGCAGTCATCGTATTCACACACTTGAAACAGATTCTAATGTAAAAAGTGTTTTATACAGTTTAAGCAACTTCTTGGATGTAAACAGAGTTCACGTGTAGCAACTAGCAAGGTAGATCAATAGGTTTTGAAAAGGTAATAATGGCATCATTACCTGTTGCTCCTTGATTTCAAATAAACACCTGAATGGGGATGTGTTGGGCACAGCGGAAGCAATACAAAGAAATAAAACAATCACAGAAAAAAACACAAGATATACGCGGATCACCCAAAACATGGTTACGTCCACGGATGAGAAGAGATTCACTATATATGTAGAGATATTACAACTGTAGAGAATTTTCAACACCGAGTGTGTACACAAACTCTTGTCCCAGAGTTCTTTCCCGTGTACCACTTCACAAGAGTCCCTCACGCCATCAGTGTTCACTTCACTAAGCCTATAACTCACCTCTACCATCAATGTACTCCCTCATGAGGCTACATCTCTCCTTCTCATAACTCCATGACTCTCAACAATAACCTAGATATCTATTTATAGAGTCCTAAAACTCAATTTCTTCTCCAACAAGGATTACAATTCACAACAATAACCTAGATATCTATTTATCTATTTATGTGTCATTATGAGAAAATCAGATGACCATTTTGAGAAAATGACACCTCACATTTTTAAAGAGTCTTACCATGTCAATTTTGTAAATATCATACGTGTGCAGTGCTGAGACAGTGGTCAGAAGATGAAGTGAAGTAGGAAAAAGAGTTTCTTCCATGTCTTTCTTGAGAATAACGATAAAATTATGATCAACGTGAATTGAAACATAAGAATTAATGACTTTCCTGCCTTGGTGGACAGTAATGAGGCGGAAAGAGTCAGATTTGCATCTCTCTTTCTTGCAACTTCAATTGTTAGAACAACCTGCCTGTGAAAACTAAAATATTATTTGTGGATAAAAATTATGTCACTTTCTTATTTCCTCCTGTTGCAAGTTTTCATTCATTTTTCACTGGCTTGAGCTACTTATTTCTCTTTCCCCACAGGTGGATCAGTTTCACTTATTTTGACGCATCATGTCATTTTATGCGCCTGCTTTCTTTTTAGCAACCTTGTTTCTTAATTCTTATGCTCTAAAATCAAGCAACACTTAGTGAGTGGATGAGGTAAACCTCCCCTTTTCACTTGTGCATGCAGGTGAAGAATGGAGACCAAAATCTTGCTGATGCTGAGAAGAAAACAGATGTGACTGTGGAGATTAAAGAAACAGCAGGAACATCAGCAGCTGGCGGAGAGAACAAACTTCCAGAGGTATCCACTTCAAAGAATGTTCAGAAAGAATGGACTTGTGCTGCATGTCAGCTGACGGTTAACTGTGAGAAAACCTTGAATTCCCATCTCCATGGGAGGAAACACAGGGCCAAGTGTGAGGCGCTGAAAGCAAGTAAGCAAACAGATAAAAACAACGGTTTGTTGTCTTCGGCCACAAATAAATCTGATCAAGATCCTGGATCGCACAAATGGAGTCAAGTGAACAATGCTGGTACTCAGATGCAGCAGTCTAAATTATGGTGCCGTATCTGTAATGTATGGTGCCCTGGAGAGATAGAAATGGCCTGCCACCTTAATGGATGGACACATTTCACTCGAATTCAAGAAGTGTTTGGCTGTGCAGGTGGCGGACAGGGTTGGGTTTGTGGTTATTGAGGGTAAAATGGATTTGAATGTTTTAAGGTATACAAGGATGGTAGCTGGTTCTCACATTTTTGTTGTCAAGGAAAAAAGGTATAAATTTGGAGATGATTGATTTTAGGTTTTAATGACGGTGTTTGGAAATTGAATGATTTTCTTCTTCCTTCAGCCTGACTTTTATTTATTAAAAAGGTAAATAGGGGTTTTGAAAACATTCTTAGCCAATGATCAAGGGACTTGAAGGGCACAATATTATGGTGAGAGTGCCTCATGCTTAGGGATTGCAATTTGTCCCACGGTGGCTGGTACTCGTTCCGCCCCGCCCCGTTTAAACCGGTTTCAGGGCGGGGATGGGTTTTATGGGGAAAAACACACGCGGTTTCGGTGCGGGGGCAGGGGAGGGCCGCCCCGCCCCGCCCTTCCCCAATTAGGATTAATGGGTATTTTTTTTAAAAAAAATTAATTAATGTGTAATGTTGCCATCATGATTGTATTTGTAATTTGAATTTTTTGTTAAACTACTGTTGATAATGTTTTTTGTGTTTTGTGAGTTGTATTATTGTAGACTTTAGTCTTGTATAATTGGGTTTGGGAGGGGCAAAAAAAAAAAGGAAACTTTTGGGAGTTAACGGGGCGGGGTGCAAAAACATAAACGGGGGTGGGGACAAGGTGGCAAGGCACCCCGTTTAGGTGGTTGTAAATGGGGGCGGGGGCGGGTACACCCGCTCAGAACCGCCCCGTTGCCATCCTTACTCATGATAGAGTTTTTTTAACTATTTTTCGGCTGCAACGTTATGCATGAAAGATGTGCTCTCAAAGGCATTACCAGTAGCCTAGTTGGTAGAATGGCTAACTCCCCGAACGGGTGTGCCCAAGTTTGAGTCCCGCTCCAACTAAGTTTGCCAAAAATAAAAAAAATAATAAAAAAAATTGACAAAAAGAAGAAGAAGAAGAAGAAAGATGCATTCCAACGTGAAGCTAACAACGATCGTCATGACAATCATTCACGGATTTAGTTCTTTTGTTTCAGAGGTGGTAGATGAATGTTCTTCCTCAATGAGTTGTTTAATGAATCATATTTTGATATATGATTAGACTTATAAAACTATAACTCACTCTTTTTACCTAAATTTATCCTCAGAGCCTTGTTTCTAGATCCCCTAAACATCTTATGTAAAAAATGGAGAGTGAAATAACACAAACTCAACATGTGAGTCAAGAAAATGATACAATTGAAAAGAATTGGCCTTATGACCACATTACATCAACTTAGTTCAAATATTACATTATCAAATACATATGAAGCTAAATATATAAGTCCGATACAATATACAACTTAAATGTTACACATAACATGACAATACATATCTGTAAGTAACATGGGTGTGAACTTATAATGCTCAGTAAGAAGTATGCTAGGTAAATAAACTACATTCTTTTGGGCCTCACAAGAGTACCGCGTGCCATACTATGCAAAGGAACATGCTCACTAACGTTTAGTTCCGGTATAGTCCTAAAGGCATCATCCTAAGCTATCAATTGCACATAGACATATCTATTTCATCTCAAATAAGCATATACGTAGAAAATGAAATGTAAACAACAACACATGTTGCAAATACACATGGATGCTAACTTGAAAAAAAGGTTCGAAATCAACAAATGGGATAACTCAAAAACACACCTATGCTCCCGGTCACATAGTGTTCAAAGAAAAAATAAAAATTGAAGAGAAAAATTAAAACATGAAAAACATATAATATAATGTGGTTCAACCACTATGCCTTACATTCACGACACAAAGAGCCAGAGGACTATATCTCTTTTATTACTTTCTCTCTCTTGATTTTGTTTACAATAACCCCCTATATTTATAGGTGAATTGGAGAAGAATTATAATAAAGGAATTACACAGAAAGTCAAATATAAATATGATAACAACTTGTTGTCCAAATATAACAACATTAACATTATGTCAATGAGTGATTTAAAGGCTTAAATCACTCATATGATTATTCTCCAACACCCCTACTCAAGTTGGTATACAGATATTTCAAGTGTCCAACTTGAAATAAAATATGAAGTTGTCGAGAGTCTGAGATGAATAAATTTGAGATGAGTTGATCCGGAAATCCGAGACAAATTAATCTGACGATCCGAGTTGATCCAAAGATTGGAGACGAGTTGATTTGAAGATCTCAGACGAGTAGAATATAAAGTAGGGCATGATAAACCTGCTCTGATACCATTTGTAACGACCCACTCCATCACATAGTATGATATTGTCTGCTTTGGGCCCAAGCTTATACGGTTTTGTTCTTGGCTTGTACAATGTATACCCCAAAAGGTCTCATACTAATTGTACTGTGGTAGCCTGCCAGTGCCTCGTACTTGCCCACGGCACACCTGCCCACAAGGTTGTCACAATCACCCCTCTTGGGGCCAATGTCCTTGTTGGCCACACTTCTGGTTGGGTCAGACTCTGATACCAAGAAGAAATACAATATAGAGGAAAGAGAAGAGAATTGTGTGAAGGCTTGAATGAGATAAATAACTCATTCACAACTTTAGTATTTATAAATAAAAGAGCACATGCTCATATTATAAGAAATGAAATTAAATCAAATCACATCATATTCTATGACATATTCTTATTCGTGGCTATTAAATATTTGCTAATATGATAAGTCATTCCCATAAATATTCATATCGGGGAGGTGTTGGGTAGGCTGGGTGGTTCAACCTCAATGAGGGCGTTATAAGTTTGGAACTACCCATTAAAAAATGGATTGAGGAGACATTGTTGATTCTTTCATTTACATTATTTAAACATATATATGAATGCGAATGGTTTGATGAGACATGGTGTTGGAAAAAAGGGGCATTAAAAACATAAACTTTGGATGAGATTTGGAATAGATTCCGCTAATAATTTTTTACGGATCTCTAAACAAGCGTGTTTCTCTCCGCAAGGAGATGAACGTGGTATATTTACTTTCTCAAATCCGTTTCCGGGTGAATGAGAAATTAGCTTCAAAGTGTAATGTTTTGATAAGCCTAAATGGGTATGCAAAATGTGGGAAGTGTTTATCCCACATGGAAAAAATGTTGAAACCAATTGAAATTTAAACAAGCTAAATTTTGGGCTTGGGCCTAATTGTAAAGTCCGATTATTCTTTTTACTAAATGCAATTTTGGATTGGGCTTTTATTTTTGGGCCGGGCTTATTTAAATAGGTGGTTGGTTTTTGAATTTAAATTAAAAGCTAGTTTTTTAATCAAAGGGTTGTATCTATTTCCAAAGGGTTGCATCTATTTTCCAAAGAGTTGCATCTATTTCTAAAGGGTTGCAATATATTGGAATGTATGTGTCTATTGGTGAACAGACACCATGTGAACCATTGCCACCTATTGGAATGGATGTGTCTATTGGTGAACAGACACCATCTAAATCATTGCAACCAATTGGAGTGGGTGTGTCTAGTGTGAAGAGACACGTATAAATGGTTGTGTCCAATGATGAAGAGACACATATAAATGGTTGTGTCCAATGATGAAGAGACACACCCAATCCAAAAAGGTACCTTACTTAAAAACTACTTTTTAGTTTTTTTCCAAAGGGTTACACCCAATCCGAAAAGGCACCTTACTTAAAAAACTACTTTTTAGTTTTTTTTTCCAAAGAGTTGCACCCAATCCGAAAAGGCACCTTACTTAAAAACTACTTTTTAGTTTTTTCCAAAGGGTTGCACCCACCCGAAAAGGTACCTTGTTGCCTATAAATACCCCCATTTGGATCATTTGCAAATCATTTCATTTTCATTTTCTTCTATCTCCCTCTCTAGACTTGAACCCAACCCAAGTGGGTTCAAACCATAGGTTAAGTGGTTCGAGCCACTTAGACCCTAATCCAATTTCATCGAGCTATATTAAGATTGGTCCAAACCATTTGATTCGGATTACACCCAATTCAGCATTTATACAGTATAGATGCATTTTTGAGTCAGAGAAAGTATTACACATAGGAGGTTCGCCGTATCCACGAATTTGTAGTGCTGCTATTGGTGGATGTAAACCGTTGTATCCTGGGAGATAGACGCCACTGAGTCCGTTAGCACCATAGCAGGGCGAATATGTCTTAAGGACATAGTATCCAATACTAGCCTCGGTCCAGGTTCTTTATTTATTATTATTATTTTATTACTTTATTTTGCATATTTAATTAAATATGGAGTTGCATATTTAATTAATGATTTCTTAGCATATTGTTAATTATCTCATGACATATTAGTATAAGGTTTGTTATATCTTAAATATCTTATGAAGTATATATTTTCACTAACACATTGTTGATTCTTCCATCTACATGTTTTAAACATGTGTATGAAAGGAAATGGTCTGAGGAGACATTGTTGGTTTTTTACGGTTTAAGGAGACATGATTGGTTGTTTATGATATGAGGAGACATTGTTGGTTGTTTACTTGTTTATGGCCTGAGGAGACATTTTTTATTTGTTGATCGTCACTTCATTTGAGATAAAATCATCGCTAGTCAGATTTGCACTCTACAATTTGTAGATTCTAAAGAAAGGTGTTAGTAAGATCGTGTTTGTAGATGCATTGTCCAAGTTGGGTATCTTAGTTATCTACGCACCAACTTGAGGAGGAGTGTTAGCATATATGATAGTCACGATTTATGGAAATGATTTACCATATTAGTATAGAATTGATAGCCAAGAATCATGGAATAAAATATGTCATAGAATATGATGTGTGATACCCATCGGATCCGAGACATGGGTTGATCAGGCCTAGGTCCAAACCCGAGGGATATCAAACAATTAATATGTAACCGAACACAGAATACAAGACGAAATAAGAAATAAAGATAATAAACTGAAGGAATGCTAACTGAAAATCCTTAAAATATAAATACAAAAATCCATTAATCCAAAACTCCATAAGTTTACAATTCGGGAATCCATCCATTGGACCCCTTATTAAAATTCTCAAACCAAAACTGAAATAATAGAAATAAAATCCACAACTATCATAGAGAAGATTCCTACATAATCGGAGGAATGAATATCTATTTCAGCTCTGCACGTCCAAACTCTAACCCTGGAACTGACGAACACCTGAAAAATAAAGGAGTGGGTCAGACCCACATGCAAGTTTGATCTACTACAATCCAAGCAGTAATCCGATATGCAGATACATCCTAGAAAGACTCAACAATATCTAGAGTAGTCCATATATGTATAAGTACACACTATAGGACGCTCACTAGTCCAAAAAGGTATGTCTCAGCTTGAATAGAGATACCATGCAAATCGCACATACTGTGGTCATGTGTATCTAGATCTACCAGGGAACAACCCCTCTGTCCAGCTATCCATCCTAGGCGATATATGCACCCTAACCATGGTCCTGAGACTCAAGCTCATACCATGGCACATATAATAAATATATTAAATATATAATATTGTTATATGCTTAGCGGGGCGGGGCGGGGCCCCTAGGATATGTATATTGAACCCTTACCCGCCCC